CATGGGTATCTCCCTTTGGATGAGGACTCATTTGTGTTCTTTACTAAAATAGATATAATCCTAAACTAAAATAAAATAAAAAAATCAACAAAATTATGAGAAACAAAGAACATATTGATTAAGTATTTCTTAGTGTCGTAATCGACAGTCGGATTATCGATGACGCAATCCCAGAAAAGATAATAATTTTATCTCGGCATTATATGAAATCTATCTACTAATCTACTTTATATTACAAGACGAATAAGTTATTTTGCAGTAAGTGCCTAATTGATCAACAAAGCAGCTTCATCTAGCTATTAGACACCTCAGACGTGTGACTGACACGTGCCGCGTATACCACGTGGGCCTCACATTCCGGCTCACATTTTGAACCCGAGGGTCCATCCACTTCACCGTTCGGTTCCAATCGGAGCAACGGTGAGGACTGGAAGCGCCACCTGAGTGGGACCCGCATCCTAACGGACTGCAGGCTTCCGATGGTGGGGGACCTCAAGCCCCGACAGTTGCACGAATTCGTTATCCGAACCGTCTAATTATAATCGAACGATAATGAGGGCATTCATGATGGAGAGAGAGAGAGAGAGACAGAGACGTTGCCTTCTTGCGGCCGCAGTCGAGGTGGCTGATGATCACCTCCACCATGTCGCCGCCGGAGAAGCAGTTCTTGGCGAGCTTCATCCTGATGATCCGGTCTTGGATCGGAAGGCGTTGTCGCAACACCCGCACTATCGCCACCATCGCGTCCGGCCGCTCACGCCGCAGTTCCTCTTCGTCGTCGAACCCGTATGCGGGCACCGGCGGCGCCGCCTCCGGGCACCGTCCCCCGGCCATCTCTCGCAGGCGCCGCTCGAACTCCCCGCAGTTCCGCAGTGAGTTGAGCGCCACCAACCCCCCTAACAGCTTCTCGTTGAAGAAGATAGCAGGCACGGCGGGGCTCCCCGTCCGCTCTACCAGTTCCTTGTCCCGCTCCTGGAACACGTCCACGTTGATCTCCACGTACGGGATGCCCCGGTCCCTGAAGAAGGACCGGACGGCGCCGCAGTCTCGGCAGCCAGAGCGGGAGAAGAAGCTGACCCGGCCTTTGATCTCGCGGAAGTCCGTCTCGGCCTCCTCCAGTACGTTCTCGCCCTTGTGCAGCACGATTACCTTGAGCCCGGAGACGTGGAACTCGGTGATCGACCCGGCAGGATCGCGCTCGCCGCCGTCGTATGGTGGCTCCTTCAGGGTGGAGATTCGCTTCGCGATGGCAGCAGAGAAGACACTGCCACGGTCGCGGAGATACTTCCCGATCGTGGAGACGTCGATGGTGGCGGCGGGAGACTTTAGGGAAACGGAGCGGTCGATGGGGCGGCGCTCGTCGTCCGGCCCGGTGGATCGCACCTTCGTGAGCCCCGGAGGCGCCTCCGGCTGCGGCAGGTGCGACAGCGGACAGAGGAGCCGCTCCTCTTTCTGGTACGCACTCTTCTCTCCTTCGACCACGACATCTCCCGCGGCGGGGAGGGCAGTCGCGGGCGGATGATCGTGCGCTGCTGATTCTTGGAGACGTTCCATAGGATCGGTATGAGGATCGGAGCAGAGGGGGGCGTCTCTGGCATACTGTTCTCCCATTGTTGGGTTTGGGGAGACGGCTTGCAAGTAGAATTGAGTTTAATTCGCCTCGTACGTGTGGGGAGCGAGATGGATAGAGGTCGAAGAACGCGGGGTGTTCAAGACTAGAGGAGACATCAGGGAGGCGCCCAAACAGAAAACGTCAAACTAAAGCGTTTCTTCTATTTCTTTCTCATCGTCGTCGTCGTCATTTGGAACGGCTCCACGCGGGCCGGGTCGCCGGCGATCAAATGCCGAGCCTCCTGACATGGACGGGTTTTTGGCGTCCACGTCGATACGGTATTGGGAGGATAGTTTCGTGATGCCAGGAAGTTGTCGAACGCCGTGGGTGAAGGGTTAGATTTAGTCTTACGTGGTGGGACGGAGGGCCGGGATTCGTCTCGGACCACTTGCTTCTCCGATGAGGTTGACGTGGTCTGCGATGCGTGAACGTGGACTCAGCCTCGCGTCTGATTGGGCATCTTAGAGTGATGATCACGCATTGAAACACTACATCGACATCCGTTATAATGACAGATATCGGTTAAATACATGAATGCATACTAATACTTGGTATGAATGAGATTGTGGAAGACAGGTGGAGATGTACATGGAGCTGAAGACCATATCGGTGGAAGATAAGGCCAGTTGGTGCACGGAGCACTAGTTTGACTTCTACCGCAAGTAGAGAATATATCGGCGAGATTGGTATGAAAAAAAAAAAAAAAGTGATCCTTCGTTTATATGTGCTCGTGGATAATACTTCAAAGCAGATCATTCGAGTATATTCCTCATCACCCACATAGGCAAAACATCAAAGACTGACATTGGGATAATTGTAGGTGTCCCCTGTAGACTAGGTATAAAAGTTAATTTTCGATGTTGTGTTGAGAGGTTCTTCTTTTGAAAAAAAAATCTCATACCCCAAAATGAAGGGATCAAGTTGAAAATTTTCTCTCAATAGTGGTCTTAGTATAGGTGGTAACTCATGAGCTCGAAACCCCACCATAGAGCCACTTCGAAGACTCTTGTGCCTTTAAGTTTGAATCATGTCGGGTTGACTCAGACGTCGATGACAACATTCTCTAACATTTTGGTAGTAGAAGGATTGTCTGATATCGCAAGAATATACACTCTCATGAGCTCTAGTTCCTCAAGAATATACACTCGAGGTCATTTGCGACAATACTGCTCGAACTCAGGCCAAGAGAGGAAGAGACACTCTCCGACTTTGTTGTTCGATTCATTAATGAAATATAAGTTGTGCAAGAAGCTCATCTATCACTCATGGTTCAAGCCTTCATGATAGGGTTCAGGCCCTTTCACATTCTTTGGTCAATGGTGGAGAGGCCACTAGTAACGGTACTTGAGGTCCTCTAGAGAGCCAACCAATACATAGCTACGGAAGCAATGATCTCAAGAAAATGCGAGAGAAGACACACTAGAGGCTACGGCAAGAACAACCACTATCAGCTCCGACCCTGAAGTCACCATAGTGAAGAAAACAAGACCGACCCATACTCAACAAGCTATGGGTTATGGTGTCAACCTATCACATGGTGATGAAATTTTCAATAAGGACCGGTGTCGATGAGTTGAGAAACAATCCAAAGGAGTCTCTCTAGCGCTATTTGACAATAATCTCTTTACCAAAGAAGGCCCAGCCTAAGGCACCGTCGTTAGACCATTGGGAATTCACTAAGTCCCTCCCACATCCGAAGCTAATAGGGTCACTAGTTGAGGCACCCCTAGACAAGGTTCATCCCGATTAGGTTGTTAAGATCAGGGTGACACTTCCCGAGGAGGAGTGTAGCTCATCGACTTTCTCAAGGAAAACATCGAGGTATTTTTAACTAATATTGTATTAGTTAAAAAATCTAATGAAAATTAAAGAATATGCATTTATTGTATCGATCTCCATAAAGCATGTCCGAAGGACATCTACTCTCTTCCCCGGATTGATTAGCTAGTTGATGCTATCTCGAGCTATGAACTCCTCATCTTCATGAACGTATTCTCGGGATATAATGAAATTAGAATGATATCAGGAACACACATCTTTTACCACGGACTAAGATATATATTGTTACAAAGTCATGTCATTTGGATTAAAAAATATAAGAACGATATATCAAAGGATGGTAAATAAGATTTTCAAGCACCAAATTGGGAGGAACATTGAGGTGTATGTGGATGACATGATAGTCAAAGACATATTTTTAATAGCTGACTCACATCGAGTGGACTTGGTCGAGATATTTCAGGTTTTGAAGAGATTCAACATGTGCCTCAACTTGTCCAAGTGTATATTAAGGTTTCTTAAAGTGTATTGACTATATGAATTGAAAAATATTTACTAATCCTAACAAAATCATTGATGATGATTATCTCATGTAACTTTATAAGTCATTTGACATTGATATAGTGGTGGATAAGACCAGGGTCTGTAGTATCGAACTATACCGTCCGGTACGGGCGGTACGTACCGATCCGACAGGTTGCCGGTACGCGGATCGCCTGTTACCGGTTCGAGTGCACTGTAGCAGTGCTACAGTACTCGGCACACCTGGGTGTATCGCTCGGTATATCGTACTGGTACCGAGCCCAGGTCGAAATACCGGTAAGATACGATATTGCGAACCTTGGATAAGACCATGATCATGAAAACCAAATTGCTCATTATTTTTTATTTATTCCTTGAGTGCTTGGTGGGATGAGTGGGTCAAAATATGCTAATGATATTTCTGGCACTAGCATCAAAATTGTAAGAGGAATCCCATCTTATACCACAAATGTTTTTCCTAATTACATCGTGCTGGCACCACAATACTATAAATAAGATACTATATAAATAGGTACTCTTTCTCTGTCTCTCTCATTATATATACACATTTATCTTCATACTTAATATTATTCTATATATACACCTTTAGCATAAGTCAGATGTTGAAATAAATTTTGATATACAGTAAACTGAATATAACAATCGATCCAATTCGATTGTTATGTTTCTTTTCTTTTAGCTATTCCAATTCCGATGATTATTGTGATGGTTAGCCAAAAACATATTTCGTCACATGCAAAGCATGACGGCAACTAATAATAATTCACGCACCTCCGAGAATAGCATCATACGGAAAGCATGAGAAGACATTTCGATGGGGGGCGATAACTCATATCAACTTTTCTAAGTGGACATCAATCAATCAGTACGGGCCACATGACTTGGGCTGTGGGCTCAATCGGTTTCCATCGACGGATGAAGGCATCAGTTGGCGGCGTCCATGCATTGAGATTCGCGCCGCCCGATGCGGGGACCCACTCATCACTCGTATCCTCAGTCGTGGCCTGAGCCCGGAAGTACCAGCTCGCCGCCCCCCGTCTTTATTTTGAAATGAAGTCACCGCGAGAAGTCGCGTACGTTCGCCGTCCCACCGAATGTTCCAACCCGATCACACGGCAGCAGGTCCTCTTCATATCCCACTCGTCGCCTCCGCCTCATCTCGTCGTCGAGATCCGGTCATCACTGCTACTGACCGGTGTCAATCCCCTCCCTTCGTCTCCGATCCGAAGCCCTAAACCCTCCTCCGATGGCCGGTGGGGCGGAGGATCCGGCAGCACCGCCCAAGAAGCAGCGGAGAGGGATCGTCTCGCGGCTGTGGGGGTGGATTTTCGGGGGCCGTAGCGAGGACTACGAGAAGCGGCTGCAGCACCTGTCCAAGGAGGAGGCTGCCGTCCACGCGCGGATGAAGCGACGGGCGCAGTCCTCCAGGCGCATGATCCGGAATGTCATCGTCTTCTCCGTCATCCTTGAGGTGACTTCCCGTTGCCCATCTTTGGTTGTTATGAATTGATCTGATGGTTTTTCGAGCTCGTGCTGGGGTTTGTGGATCTTGGTTAAGAGATATTCTAGTCCGTCGACGTTTGAGGTTTATGGCGCTTAGTCTTTCCTCTAACTGTGTGATTTTGGAGACCCGTGTGATTGTGGTCAATAGATGGCATCGGATCCAAGAGTATAGTACATTACTTGTGTTTGAGTTGAAGGGGATCGATTACGTTCCGGAACTTTGGAATCAATCTGATCTTGCATAGCTAATTTAGGAAGAGTTGGCCCTTTCTCTTCTGCTAGCCTGTGATTCCATTTCTAGATTCCTCGCGTTCTAGGAAATTATGTCTAGACTTTCCTGGAGTTACGGATTCTTTTCCCTAGTTATTTCGAGAGACATGCTTTCCCCATTTGTTATTCCAAATTAAAAGTCAGTCATGATTCAGAAGACTCAATGTAAGTCGGTGGCTTTTGGAAATTCAGCATGCCACTTTATTCAGCTCTTCAGAACAATGACACACGAAGCAGACAAGTTTATGTTTCTTTGTTAAATGTTTTTACTTATGGGAAGTTTGTCTTGTGAGGGTCATTGCGAGCTTGCACCGATGGTCTAGATGCCAACTAGATAATACCTTAGGAACTTTGAGCCAAAAAAAAATGGAGTTTGTTTTCAGGAACTGTGGATTTGCTGCTTCCAAACCAAGATATATTTTCATGTTTTTGTTTGTCTTGTTTTTTATTTAAACTATTTTTGGTTTTGTGAAACCTAAGGGGTCTCATTGTAAGATTTATTTTAAATTTTCTAGAAATTATAGGAATAATATGTAAAAGTCTGCATTAACATGGTAGAAGTCTTGGAGGTAGAATATTTTGTAGTAAAGGATTCGTAATTTTGACATCAAGTAGTCAGTAGAAGGCTTTGTGGTTCTTGATTAATATCTGTTTTAACTAAAGGCTGAAACAAAATTTTGACAGGTTGGCAACCATATATCAGACCTGTAGAGTGATTTAGAATAAATGGAGTGTGGAAGAACAAAATGTTCAGATGATTGTGGAATCTGTCAATTTATAGTCTGATGAAAAATCTGATGGTTATATTTGGATATTATCAGATTTTTCAGCCTCTTGCTCTAGTACAACCATGGAACCTCATACTTTTAAGTTCCTTAGCATTATACTGTCTGTAATGGATTCTGATACATTGATTGAATTCTGATTGTTTATGAGCATTTTTAATGTTATTTGATGCATCTGGGTGTAGAATCTTTAAATAAAAATAACATAGTGGCAGATATGAAGAATATCAGGTAGTTTTGTTTTGAACTCTTTGAACAAATCCTATAGAAAGCTAATTGGTAAATTACTGTATTTATCCATTTACGTTTTGTCCTAACTGGAATTACTACTTGTAGAAAAGCTAAAGACAATGTTATCTTTACTAGAATGAGTTTGAGAATAACTTCCGATGATCAGACTTGGTTTGATTTGTTATCACACAGAATGCATTTGAGATTTTTAGGATGAGAAGACGAGTGATTCGGATCAATAATTGCCGTGAATTGTCATTGATGGATACAATAAAGTATACTTGATAATCATTCTAAATCATCTCCCATGCCTTGTTGGCTTATCTGCCAGTTAGAGCACCAGCCACCAGGTGTAAGTTTTGTTTTCTATAGAATGAGAATTCGTTACATGCATAACCATTGATGAAATAAAATGTTATCTGAAGTTAATCTGTAGTTAGAAAACAAACTCCATGTTTCAGCATTTTCCATGATCTGTTCTGATTGTTAATTGTAGGGGCTAGCTACTTTGTTTTTCCATTTTCAGCCTTGATTTATGATTTTCTTTTTCTCTCTCCCTATTTTTTTTGTTTTGCTTAAAATTTCTGAAAGTATGACTTTGAAATAAATGATGTTTCTGATCTTTCATATTTTTTCATCTTTTATTTAAATGTTCTCCATATTCCCATTATATCTTTCTGTGTATTGTGACTCTTTGGTGTCTAAAGACTATATTTAAGCTCAGCTACATTTTTTGGTATGTTCTAATACTTTGTTGCCTAAGGTCTATACCATAAAAGTCACTACTGAATTCATTTTCCTTATGTACTTTATTTTTATTTTTTAGACTTCTGATATTTGTACCAGGTGGTAGCAGTGGTTTATGCTATCATGACAACCAGATCAGCAAATATGAACTGGCAGATTAGGGCAATACGAGTTCTACCTATGTTTGTGTTACCTGGTTTATCTTCTGTTATTTATTCTACCCTTGTAAGCTTCACAAGGATGTGTAAGTATCTCAGACTCTACACCTGAACTTACATATTCTTTAGCTGTTATACACCTTTTTACACTCATGTAATATCTTCCAGCTGTGTTACATTTTCTCTATGCTCTTTTAGTGCTTCTGTTAAGTTTTCATACGGTTTATATGGAGAATGCTTTTGCACAAGTGCGAAAATGAATATTTTTATGGTCAGTTTTGTCTAATTCTTGTGATTTTTTTGCAGTGCCTGTCATATCAGAAAATGGCATGTTTGTTTTGCAATTCATAACATTAATATTCAGACAGAAAATGTATTCTGAGTGGGAAAATCAATGAAACAAACTGGATAGAAATGGAGTTGAACTGAGCTAAAACTGATTGAAATCTTAGAAACCCTTTTTTGCAAGTCGTGCTGGAACCTATGGTTTGCAGGGTTATATAATGTTTTTTTTTTTCTGAAGTCATCAATGTGATCAGAAAGAACCATATATGGTAATATATATTACATGCTAAATATCATATGGATCCAATCAAAGAATTCTTTGTCCCACTGTGAACCTTCTCTTCCTGAAATGAAAAGATCAACCCATGTTGATGTCAGATATCTATTTCTGATGATAATTGCATGTATATTGCATGTCCATATGCATTTATATCTATCATGTGGTTTTCTTGTAGCAACACATTTACTAGCATTTTCATCCCGAGAGGAAAAAAACATGTTGAGACCTTTTGGGGTTTGTTAGAGATTTAGCCTCTTTTATTGGCCTGTGACCTCAGAAGTAGTTTTGTTCGTATGTCTGTAATGTAGATTGTCTAGAGTTATGTGCATATTTTTTATGGTTTGTGTTTGGTAGATGCCAATGAGCACTGAACTAAGTAATTCGAAAATTGTTGTTTGTAGTTGATCGCAAGGACCAGAAGACTCTTGACAAGCTACGTGCTGAGAGAAAAGCGAAGATTGATGAGCTTAAAGAGAGAACCAATTTTTACAATACACAACAGCTTATTCAGGTGAATAGCTAATGAGAATCCGAACTAGGATTATCTGTTAGATACTGAAATATCATATGTACATGCATGTGCATACACATTTGCATTACATATGTGAAATGATTTGCAAATTGAATTGGAGCTTACAAGACAAGGACACTCCACGTCATGTCCATGTCCGACACCAACACTTACTAGATACTTCACTATGCACGCTGGGTAGTTCAACACACATTAGGACTCATGTATCAGCTCCACATAATTATGGCATTATACTTTACACTGGTCAGGCACTCAAACCATTTATGTCTCACCTTTATGTGGATATAGGGATCTGGGAGTAGGTGAGAAAATTACATTCCCAGCCCACACTATTGCTTCCATCTCATGTTCTATATGGCATATTAATCTGGAAAATCCATGGTGTCTGTGTGTGTCTATATATATATATATATATATATATGATGGCATGATTCAATTTGTCCTTTGCTTGTGCGAAATTTAAGCAATTAGTAACTTTTGCATGTGTGGTGCCATATCTTTTTGGTCTATCTCACTGGAAGCATTGGCTTATATGATGTGTTCTCTTTTCTTTTCTTTGAGGTTGTTGTACTAATTGTTGGCCTTCGGTCTTCAGAAATATGACCTTGATCCTGCTGCAAAGGCTGCAGCAGCAACAATTCTGGCATCTAAGTTGGGAGCAGACTCTGGTTTGACAGTTTATGTTGGAGATGAACCTAATCCATGTGCCCCATTGGTGAAAAGCAGTGATGCCAAACCCGTTCAAACCACTGGGCTAAGAAACAGGAAACAATCACATGCAAGAAGCAGTAGCACTGTTATTTCCCAATCGGTCAGTGAAACTCCTAATGAGTTTGGGGTTGGTGCCCAAGAAATTCCTTCTCAGGCCCAGAAGGCTGTTGAGCACTACAAAGGCTCTAGCTCTTACGGTGGTGGTTGGATTGCTCGTATAGCATCCTTGCTCGTAGGCGAGGATCCATCACAGTGCTATGCTCTCATATGTGGCAACTGCCATATGCATAACGGTATGTAAAGATTGCAAAAAAAAAAGACTTGGTGTTGTATGTCTATGTTATCCTGGAAACCAAACAACTAAGTGGTTCGCCGTTGCAGGACTTGCAAGGAAAGAGGATTTTACGCACATAACGTATTATTGCCCCCATTGTCATGCATTGAATACGTCTCGGCAATCAGGAGAGCATGATTCAGGTTCCAGATCTGGCCAAGGCAATTCCTTTTCGAGGAGTGAAGTCACAAACGATCCGCCAAAAGTTCCAGAGCAGCCAGTTGGGAAGAGTGATGCTAAAGAACACACCTCAGAGGCTACTTCATGATTATGGATTGTAAGCATGAGTGCTTTTCTCAGATTTTTCTCTCTTTCTCTCTGTTCTAATATTCTAGTTGTGGCGGATGTAAGTTTCTGTGCGACATAACCAGGACAAAACATAAATGCATATTCTCGAGGGGGTATGACCGAATTAAGTTTGGAGCATCAGATACACTTGCTGCTGCTTCCAGTCAGGTTTCATCTTTTCTCATTTTGAAGAACGTGAAACTTTCATATCTTTTAGTTGTTGTCACGGTCAATTCCGATTCTAACAGCCAGCCAGGACATGTAGTGCGCCGATGGGGCAGCCGTCTCTGCTCCATGTGTAAGATTTCCTATTCCTGTTAACACTGAGCATCTTCTTCGTGCCGTCTTTGACTCGCTCGCCAACATTGAACCACTCAATCTGTGGCCGTGAAACGGAAAGCACAAGAAAGAGCAACACGAACTGCATGTTGGAAAGTCGCTTCCCTTGTCGGGATAGGAACCGTACGACTTGGGCAAAATCATTGTATCGATCATCAATATGAAATAGCTCCATTCTGATTGCTACGACATTGTAGATTTGCAGAACAAAAGGGTAGTCGGTGTTTTCTATGGTTTTGGATCCTCTGCTCTGATGCTTCGAGCGAGAGTTTCTCGAATGTGATCGTCTGCTGAATCTGGGATTGCTGATTGGTTGATTTGACCTGAGATTCCTTTTGTTGGAGTGGGATGGGCAATACGGGCTTTCTCGCCTCCTTTGACCTTGACCTTGACCTTGACCTTGTTTCGTAGATTGATTTCATCTGTCACTACCGGTGTGCGGCCGTGGCGCCGAAAACTGCTCGATCCTGAGGGCAACGTCATCCTTTCCCAGTCGTATTAGCTACGGTCCCCTTCCTCGCCATCCACGACCGTTTGACCTCTTCCTTCCTGTATTTTCTCATGGTTAGTAATCCGTAAGAAAGCATAGCCACTTCTTGATGTTCCTTCCACCTCATTCTCATGGGATCTCTATTTTGGTACCTTCCTTCACCTCCAAGCCTGCGGCAATCCTCGAATGTAGCTTCCGGTTTACTACTTTCTGGTTGCTTGCGCCCAGCGAACAGCTCATTCTTTCCTTTCTCGACCAACTACACCATTAGGACACATCCTGCTTCCTTTGAACAAGCCACGACGAACTCTCTGTCTCTCTCTCTCTCTTAGCGTTTGGTATGAGAACTATTTCGTTGCCATGATGATGTAGCCAGCGATTTGGTGGTGGTTCCTCACATTTGTGTACGTTCTCAGGCCAGAAGAAGCGGCAGCAATGGAGGGCACGCAATGGAAGGGATCGGTCCACAGGATCAGGAAGTGCGTGGTGGATCTCCTGTCGATGGAGGACGATCTGGTGGACGACGACGACGAGGATGCGTGGGAGCTGATGGGTAGCGACCTTCGCCTCAAGTCTACCTTCTTGTACTGTGATCTCAACCAGGTGATCTCCCACGCTAGAGAAGAGCGGAAGAAGGTTCTCACCGACCTCGCCAACAAGCTCTTCTACTACATGGAGCAGGTAATTTCTTCTTCTTCTTCTTCTTCTTCTTCTCATCCTCTATGGTGGCGTAGTTCTTAGATGGAGGACAGGGTTGGATCTGCCGTCGATTCTGGTTGCCTTCTTTCTTCTTTTGTGCACCATTTGGATGCATTTTGCTCTGTGACGAATTCTGCTGCTGAGCGTAGCTTTCTGATCTGTTCTCTTCCTGTTTCTTTCATGGCATGCAGCTGGATCATGCTGTCAGGATCCGGAGCATGTCTTTGACGCAGGTCTGCTACAACGACACAGCCAATGTGTTACAGGAGGTGATGGCCGCTCTCATGCCCCTTCGGTAGCTCGATCACCGAAGGAAGACTGAAGTCCACATTCTTTCGTCACAAAAAGTTGAAGCTACGCCATGCACGACCAAAACTGTTGGTCGTTAGCAGTCTCTGCTGCATGCATGACTAAAACTTTGGCAGAGTTTTCTTCGTTTCTCAACTTTGTGTACATTGAAGCCTTCGGATTAGCACTAAAAGCAATCATCATTTAAGTTAATTAGAAATTATCTCCTATAATTAATTATCTTTAACATTTTGATCTTTACGTTTTCAAAAGTTACGTTGAGATTTTCATACTTTCGAAAATAAAATATTTAATCTTATTTTTTTATAATAAAAACATATAGTAAATTAAAATAAGATAGAATCAACACATGCTCAATGATAAATCTTATAGTATTTTTCTCAACAGAAACGATGATATAAGAAAAAATAAGATTAAATATTTTACTTTCATAAGTATAAGAATCTCAATATAACCCTTGAAAATATAAGAATAAAAAATTTAAAATAATTAACTACAAAGATAATATGTAATTAGCCTTCACTGTTTTCATCCTTCAAACACCGCAAGCTGTCCTCCTCATACATACATACTCGGAAATTAGCAAGTTAGAATTCCTAAACACTCCTCTGAATGTAGAAGAATTTTGATGACAACATGCAAAAAAAGTCACTAGAAACAGATGCTTCGTATCCATGCAAGAGATTATTCATATGTGATAAAACACCAATTCATTCTTTAATTATACATGCAGATTAATACACTACAAAGAGCGTTTTATTTTCTAGCATTACAATTTGTCGGTACAAATTGTGCTCTCGAGGAAAAGGACATGATAGTAAAGCAACAAAAATTCCTCTCATATCAAGCATTTATACATAGAAGCTCCATGAGAGAAGCACAAGGTAGAGAGTCGGGAGGTCGCTGTTGCCTGGTGCTTGATTCTCCTCTTCTGGTTCTGGGATGCAATCTTTGTTCTCTTCCGTGAAAAGCCATGTTTAATTGGAGACAGCTTGGATCACCTTCCTTGCATTTACATAAGAAATTTGTGCACTTAAAAGGGACCCGATCATTTGGTGGAAAGTCACCAGGATCTTCGCTCTTCCTTAAGATGACTGCTGCTGGGTTCATGTGCCTTCCAAAATAGGAAACAGCAGAGATTAAGCAAAAGGAATACCAAATTGTGAACACAGAAAAGAACAAGAACAATGCACACTTCAATAGGATATTTTACTGGCTAAGCAAGTCTTCCAGTTAAAAACAAAAACCAAGTAGTCGGTCATGCGAAATGATAACACATTACAATCCGTAGTAGCTTATGATTCACTGATAAGCACACACAAACACCCATAACAGAGTTTATCACATACAACACTAGAGTTGGGGAGGAAATGAGCATTTTAAGTAGAGGATAGTTAACATTAACGATGGAAGCTGGCGCAACGATCATTGAACAAAAAATTGATTCATGACAAAGACTAGCTGGTGGGTCATCAGAATGGCATCGTGCCAAATGGCACAAGTGGACAAACAATCTCAAGAAAAGGGGTGATATGCTGAGTAGAACAAGAAGTTCAAGACACATTTATTTGTCAATGCCCTCCATTTGTCAACCTTCTTCTAAGAAAATACTTCTTTTCCACTCTTTTACCATTAAATGATTTAAAAGATGCACATATTTGTCAATCCAAATCTGAACTATCTCATAATCGAAGACGTTCAATCTGCTAGTAAAATATTCGACTCTGTAAAATTTCATGACCAGATTTAAAACAGAATGAGACGATCCCCAGCTACAACTCATAATACCATCATGTGGTCAATAATTAAATCTAAGCAGCGATAACAATCAATATGCAAATTATGGCATATTTAAACTTATGAAACTTCAATAACACATGAATAAACCTTATACATTTAAAATAAAAACTTGACAATTAGAAGCTTACCTGATTAATACAAGGGAATATTGAATGCATAAGACTCTCATTAGCAAACACAGGCAGTGGAGGCATCTGACTCATAATACCAGGCATTCCACTCATGCTGTTAAAAGAGAAAATTCTTGTCCATGAACTAACATCAAAATCATGACTACCAAATGAAAACTTTATTGATGAAGTACCTATTTAAAATGGCTGTTATATTCTCATTTGAGCGATACAAGAGATCAATGTTATTTTGTATCTGCAAACAGATGGAAAGACATAAATAACAAAGGAATGAACAGTTAAACATATCAAGACTTCTGTACAAATATACCTATTTGTATATGTAACCACAAGTAATTTACTGTTTTATCAATATATTGGTCATAGTAAATAAGAATCTAGACAGATGACAAAGGAATATGAGACTGTAGAATTATCTTTTCGTGTTACCAATGTCAACAGGTTATATTGGTTAACAGAATAACCTTTTTTTCTTCATCATCCTTTAGGTTGATTAACACATTTATGAATTAGCAAGAAAACACATAAAAGCCGAAAGACCATCCTGTGAAATATGGACTCATAGTTGCTAAATGCTCTTGCTGGATACAGTTCAATACTTTGACAAGTGTCTATGGTGCTATAGTCCCATATCTCTTTGGTCAACAATTTTGCCAGGCTCATGCATTATCATACATAAAATTTAGCAAACTCGCCTAACTATAGAAGATTATTTTGTTGTTAGTCATCTATAAAGTTCTCATAATATCTACAAATTTTCCTGGGCTGTGATTGAGTTCTGGATTTCAGGACATTCCACATGGAGGCAATGAAGTGATCAAATAATTACAGGAAGAAGATTAGAGAATCTTAGTGTATTTAAAAGCATTGATTACATCGCACTCATCATCATTCTCAAGACTAACTGAAACTTTAAACTTAATATGACAACATATCCCTCAGGAAAAAAAAGAGAGAGGAAGACTCAACCTCTTAATCCATGATGGGTCACATCACTTTCCGTTTTAGTTCATTCAGCTAAGGTTCATTTGAAACCAATCCAATGGTAAGCGAAATGACTACCATTTAAATGCTAATAAACTACAACCGTTAAATAATACCACTAAAAAGATTAATGTCCAAGATTTATCTTTTAATGATTTGGTGTCTCAACTCGTTAGGGCTTCCCTGGTTGCTCTAAAACTTTTTATATCGACCAAAATTTCCAGTTTATACATTCTATGAGCTTTGGAACATATTCACTAGTTTTCTTCAGTTCTGGAAATTTGCATATTAAGAAGGATATTAAACTATAACCTGTACAAATTTAAGTATTAGACCTGCTTTACTGACAAGAGTATCTCCAATGCTAATTATGACAATAATTTAGATGATCTTGGACATGTTGTGATAAACATTCCAATGAAAAAGGAAAAACAGATCCAAAGTGATTCAGCAAACAGCAAGTTACATGTGTCTAGGGTGCACCACATGAAAAGACCAGCTAATAATATAGTTGTTATTTTAGGGTAAATAAAAAGGTTGACTGTTACAACAGGGACACAGGATTACCGCTATGCATGGATATGTAAAAGTATGTATGGAAAGAAATGCATGGATCACGCCTTCCAAAATTTGAAGAGTAAAAAGATTATTTGTGTTACATCAAATCTTTCTTGGAAACAATTTGTAGCTATATACTGCCATAAGATTCCTCAGCATCTGCTTATATCATTCAGAAATGCAGATGTGATGAAGATACCAACATACTTTTTCTACTTGTGCTAGTTGGATTAATTGTACTATATTCGTCAAGGGAGAATGTAACCAACTAGTGCATGTAATTATGTACCCAAAAGAAATAAATGACAATTCTATGGTTGTGCATATTATGCACCAGCTCAAAGCATAATATTGCAATCAATCTGCTAACTGTAGCAACAGAGTAATACAGCCAATTCTTCTGTCTATCACAAGAAAATGGCATAACCAAACAATATGACTATAACAGCTCATAGCAAAAAAGATCTTATAATATATACCTCATTGTTTTCAAGATTAACTGCAATCTCATGAAAAATTTTTGCATTGTCTTCTAGAAGATGATTTGTTCTGCTGTCTATCACAGGGCCTGCAGGAGAAACAGATTTAGAATTAAGATTAGATATTAAGAATATAAATAAGACCAAGTTATGATGTACAAAAGAAAATATAATGAAACATGTGTAAATTTGACTAATAGAACTAGTAGAGTGCATAAAGTTCTCCATTCCATGATAATACATAAAGCAACTGCACCACACATGGACCAAGATTACATGCATAGTTTCAATTATATTGGAATCTTCTACAATGGGAAGAATGTCAAAGATAAACAGCTCAACCATAGAAAGAAATTTACATTTTATCTAAATATCTGTTATAATTTGACAATCTTAATGAAATTATGCTTTAGACAAAAAAGATGACTGCCCTTAATATATTTAACAACTTGCTTTGCTAGTATAAAATTGTCACAACATTATACAAGACATTTCAAGCAAGTTCCTATGCATTATCACTTATGTTCTTTCAATTCAGAACACTAGGCATAATAGATGATCATAGATTGTAGTATTGATTGTTGTACCACCCGAAACGGTACGAAACGGGTGGTACATACTACATAGTACATACCAGTCCAGGCATAGGCCGGTATGCAGACCACCCCCGTTCCAAGCGGCCCAGTCCATTTTAGTAAAAATAATAAAAAATAAAAAATAGCGGTGGGGCCCATCCAACTCAGCATTAATAAAAACTTCTAGTGTTCAACACTACTGCCGTCATCGTTGTTGCTATTTCATGATGCCGTTGCCACCACTGCTGCTTCGTGATGCTGCTACTTAGCGACGTTGCTGCCAACACGATTGCCACCGCGGTCCTTTGTCCTAGGTACACTCCCACCTCTTCTCCTCTTCTTCCATTTCATCCTCCACCGCTGCTTCTTCCTCTACCATTTTCTCTTCTTCCTTCTTACTCTTCTGTTCCTCCATCGTCCCTTCCTCTTCTACCTCTTTTTCTTCCTCTCTGAAACATCGGTCCCGGTGTACCTACATATGCGACACCAGTACTGACAGATCACCGAAACAAGTCTGATATCCGAAAGGGTCATCCTTGGATTGTAGAGTGCACAGAACTGTAAAATTGTATGCATATTGTAAAAGAGAGTGACGGATCCTTTAGAGCTTTCTTCTGTTTTATGTTGTGAAGATCCTCACAATACTGTTCTTTCTTTTCTGATTATTTTCCAAGAACACAACGGAAGCTGGTAATGACTTCTAACTTGTGAATGTCTAATCACATTCTTATTTGGATCTGACCAAACCTCAATCTTGGAATTCTCACTCACTAAGAGTCTCAATCACTTATTTTTTTTCCCTTTTATATACATATGCCGGTCCAGGGCAAATATTCATCTTTATCTAAGAACACTGATGGATAGTCTTAAGGATAAGAAATATTTTATCTGATTGAAGGCAAAAAACTCTCATGTTGAAATGGAATTTTTCATATGTCACAAGAATTAGTCACATAAGCCTTTCAGACAAGTTCAATCATAAATGAAAGTTAACTATTAACTAAGCTGAACTGCCTCAATAATAGCACCTACCAACCTTCACATGAGAATTGATTATTGTGGCTCCCATTATGCATCTTGAAAGAATAGGTAGCTTCGCTCTCTGGTTGATTACAGAACATATTAGCCATTGAGGAAGAACCTATCACCTTCTCCTGCACAGAATTTTGATATGATAGACATTAAAACAAACAGAACACAAATCTCGTTATTTGGAACATACATTAAAAAGAGAGACCATAAGTCCAATCTACAAGAGATCTATTCACTTTTTTCTTTCTCTAATAAAAAAGATGATGCTATTCGTTATTTATAATTTGTTTTCGTAGACTAACCAAAACAAAAGTTGAAACAATTTCAAACTCAGCATTCTGATTTTAAAGAGACCATATGGTGCAACCAAAAACAGTATAAAGATTATAAGAAGATCCTGATATTCTCTCTTTAAATTATATCCTGGGACTATAGTATTAATGTTGATCATAGAATCATCAACTAATTGATGTTTTTGGGTGGAAATTACCTTCCTGTCTTTGGTTTTCTTCCCAGCATAATAGTCTTCAGGCTTTCGTCGTTTACCATTCTCCTTCTTCTATAAATAGGTCAAAAATATTAGCATAAATACAAGTTTCCTAGGACAAGTCATAATTACACTGGGATATATTAGACAGTTAATAAAAAAATTACAAGGCAAATATCCTTTTAACTGCCCAAAAAGCACCATCATGTTATAAAGAAAAACTATCAGAGAACTTAACATCCAAGTCTTTCACTGATGGGCAATCAAATTAAATTTCTGAAGAAGAAACCAATTTGGCAGGTTCTCATAACCATGTTGTTTCACTCTACGATGTTGAATAGATTCTGATTACACATGGTTTTAAGTGGCAGGTCATGAAATGTGCCTGTAACCCTACATGTTGCCCTTGACCGTTTGTGTTTTTGTTTTTGTATATTTTCATTTATTTCTTTTTCTTTTTCTAGGTGCTCTGCAACAACAATTGGTTGAGAGTTTGGGCTCAAATGGACAAAGAAACTAAAAGAGAAACAGATTATTATAACTAAGGAAGTTTATCAGGGTTTCCAAGGACTTTCCAACTAAATCGACATGTAAGTAGGAAGTAGGGGCACAGTCTCACCTTCAAGTAACAGTGTTAAAAACAATGTCAAGATGCCTACACAACTGCAACAAATTATGCTCTCAGTCAAAACTTTTCATAAAAATCAAGATATAAGACCCCATCCAAACTCAACAACCTATTTCGAAAGTTTAAGCAAATTCACTTTTGTAAACTGCTCAAACACAAACTATGAAACAAATAACTGCGAGCATCATAAATAACAGATTATGCGAAATATAGTGGTTCTGCACTACATCCGTCCAGAAGGTATGTTGTGAAGAAACATAAGAGTATTCTGCATCCATGTTTAAAACTTGTAAAAACATACTCACAGTCATCCATCGGCACCTCATTGCAACATCCCTCACAGTCTTGTCAGGAAGCTTAGATGCAATCTTGATATACTTCATGATATTAGGCTCACCAGCATATCTGAAATGTTAAGATGTTACTACAAGTCAAGAAAAAAGGTATCGACAGCCTAGTGTAGCAGACACCTATGGCAAGATCAGACTTCATAGAATCATAGCGCAGCACTACCAGAAGAAAGAAAAATCAACAAAATAAAAAGCTTCGCTTTCGAAAGATTTTCAATTATTTACTTACAGATGATGGAAAATGATAAACTTGTATGGATTAAGCTAGAGATGATAATTTCAGGCCAAATGAAATATAAGCTACAGTAACGAGTAAATATATCTGCAATGGGTCAAACAGAGAAGTTGTCATCCAAAATCAAGTTTAAGGCATATTGCTTGTCATGTGAATGAAATAGCAAATAAAAGATGCAATTTTCTCAGGTAGTATGTTCTGAATCAACAGAGGCCCAGAATCATTTTTACAAAAATATTAAGAACAATTAGATAGCGTGAAGCTGCAGCCAAAAGAAAGAAACTTGCTACATACGTGGCAAGGCCTCGCTTCATCACTTCCAATTCCTCGCAGGACCAATCCACAGCGAATGATGTACGATGCTTACGCCCATGTTGTGGCTCGAGGGGGATATTTCCGGGAGAATTAGTAGTCGAGACCAAAGGAGAAATATTGTTCAGCGTGCCAGAATTTCCAGCCAATATCATCGCCGTCGTTCCATTTATTCCACCTGAAATGTTCATTCCACCGGGGAAAATACCGTGTGTGTTGTTTACAGTCCCTGAGTGAAAGGAAACTACATGTTGATTGCAAAAAGATTGTGGGAAAACTCCTCCAAGAGGGAAGTTGATGTTATGATCTGCTGCCATGCTCATAGCACCCGGAAGCACCAATCCAACAGAAAGAGCCTGGAACAGGGGCAGAACCTTTCGATCTGCTGCGATACCACCACACAAGTTTAAAGCCCTCGACAATCCTCAACGAAGGGGAGAATACTCTCGAATCACTTGATACCCACAGCTTCGAAAGCGCAAACTTACGACCTCAAGAACAGATGCAGCTGCTCGAAAGGCCTGAATCACATCGGCTCTGAGTGCATTCAACAGCAAGCTTTCATCTTTATGTCCCTAATTGAAACCAACAACAGTTATGGACAAGGAGATCTCATCGTGCGGTCACCTAAAACCCACGAAACACAATGCAAAAAAGAGGATCTTTTTTTTTCTGTTCAGAGAAACCCTAACGCGAGTTTAGCTAACAATTAAAGAACCCAAATCGCCGTGTCATAACCATTTCCAAGAAGCAGAGAGAATCTCGATAGCAAACACCAAAAACAGAGGCAGAGGTAGAATGAGACGGTGATTGAGGGAGAAGACAGAGAGTAAGAACCTGCTGTCAATCTCCGCAGTCTTCTTCGTGTGCTTCTCTGATAAGATAATGGGAGAGAGATAGAGGGAGGGGACGAAACCCTAACAAGATTCGGCCTCCTCTGCTCGTCCCTCCAATGGGAAAGCAAACGAAAGAGGGAAAGCCGCCCCTTTTCCAATATATAGCGAGCGACGACAGCAGCAACAACAGCGAGCGCTTGGAATTCAGCAAGGCCGCTATGCGCGTCCCGATGCAGTCATGGAATTGGATGCATGCATGCCAATTATTGTGGAGCCTCCCTCGTTTCCACTTTCTGCTCGTCTCCTCTCCTCCTCTTCCTTTCTGTTTTCTCTCTGCGCCCAAACCTTGTTTCTTATGCTTTCTCTCTCCCTCTCTCTCCCTCTCCTTTTACTGCCCTTCCATATTTCGTCACCTCATGCGCATAAAATATTACCTGCACATCTCTCTTGCTCTCCTTGCCAGATTCTTCTCTCCGCAACTGCTTCAGTGCGCATCCCATCTCCACTTTTGGTCAAAGCAAATCTGCATTTATGCCCCTAAAACTTTGATGGATAAACAAATCAAAGATTACATGGCAAATTAAGATAAGAATTGAGATCGGGAGGAGTTGGGCAAGCGATGTAATGCTGCCAAAACTAAAAAGTCAGCATAAAGAAGACAGCTTAACTTGTAAACACAGCACGTGGGACTGGTAATGTTACTCAACCAGATGCATGCTTCCAAGTACTCCGAAGGAGACCACCACCATGACTTTTGTTCATGCCATCGCATCTCACATGATCCAAGGTAGAAGAAGATACGTCGATCCCATGCTTGCTATTGCCATCATTCGGCGCTGAAAGCAACAAAACACTTGCTGTTTTAAGTGTGTTGCTGCAGAATTTGGCTAAGGAACAGAACTAGTGGGAGAATTAATGTATCATTAGTCATATGTCTTTCATAAACAGTAAATGTTAAAGCTCGTTTCGGTAATAACAAAAGGGGCAAAAGGAAGACGACGACGGCGACTCTTCCAACCTTGGATACGTCATGCGTGCTTGTCATTATTACCGTAGGATAGTCGGGCCGGATCGGTGCAACCTGCCTTGCAGCAGATCCGGCCTCCGGCTGAGATCCGACCTGACGCAATCCTTCGCGCAAAAGGCCAATGGCTCCAAACCCATGCTTATCTGCAACCGGGATACGTGTCGACTGGGTAACCCACCCACGTCGGCCCATCTCGAATCTCTGCGCCGGCATGGAGGCGGCGGCAACGTGACCAAGCGGGGGCCGCCACACGCGACACAGCCAGTGTGCGTCGGCCACGTTCTCGTCGGGGATTGGTTCGTAGTGGCGGCGGAGCTGGGTGCGAGTTCCGAGGCCGCTCACCAAATGCGCGTATTAATCACGCGCGTGGTGATTGGACAGAGAGGATGCGGGGTCCAGCGATTCCAAGGCTGCTACTGTCTCTTGTGTTAGCCAAGGAAACAACACTGGACTGCATCCAGTCCACGAGATGGAGAGGCTAAACAAGCTTTAAGAAGGAGATGATGGTTAAGTAAACTGTGGGCGTGGGGTAGCAACTTGTCTTTTGTGTTGGTAGTCTTGCATGGCGACGGCACCATGCACTGCATCTCCAAAAGCAGAATCAAACCCCCACACACACATACACACACACACATATGAGAGAGAGAGAGAGAGAGAGGGAGAGGGGAGCAGTGCTGGTGGCCACTAGGAGCAGGTCCACCACATTTAGAATAGCATCGCACCCATTACATTCCAAGGCCAACTCACATACATATGTCGATTCTGACGCAGCGAACAAAATACCTTGTTCATATTGACATAGGACATGACAAGACCACTCACCATCATGAGTCATCACTGCATGCAAAAGCTGCATGTGCATCCATGTTATGGATCAAATCAACAAGGCAATGACAGCAGCCGGTGTTTCCACCCGGGCATTGATCAGTTGTGGAGTAAGAAGAACAAGAGAGAGTTCTCAGGCTTGTGGATGTTGGTTGTAGATATGCGTACACAAGCAATAAGTTCTTGTCAGATGGACAGCGGTAGATAAATGGGAAAAAGAATCACCTTTTCCATACAAAGAGATGCACATTTAAGTGTTGCAAAATGCCAAGAGTGGAGGGCAGCTTTTATAAGATTCTGAGGAGAGGAAAAGAAGGTCTCGATGGTAAGCAACCAAAGAGATTCCATTCATCCTGCTGGAAGGCAGGAAAGAGCTGTGTGCTTCTGTTCATCAACAGCATTTTGTAGACACCGAGAAGTAGTCGGATCTGCAAAGCATTTGATTCACATGGAAATGAAAGAAGGAAGTCCAGTAAAAAGACACTCGGAAAGGGTGACAGCAGAATTAACTACACCAAGACATGACCGGGTGGAGGAACAACGAATAATGCACAAGAAATGGAAGCTTCTGTAGGGAGTAGAAGTGAAGGCCTTCGATTGTGACAGAGTTGGCTTGGATGTCATGTGTTCTCGGTAATGGGGCAACTTCTGATTGCACAACAAGTCACTAATACGCAATCAAGTGCATGCTTTTATCGTCTACACACGACTGCAACACTTCCATAGTTTCTTCTTTGGTTGATCAGGCAACGCCCAGATTTGAATTCCCCACCTTACCATTGGGAGACCAAATAAGATGAAAAATAGCATGTAGAGATCGTGAGCTTTGGCATTTGAACTCGTTCAAAGTAAAATGATACGAGAGAATATTCGCACAGACCGTAGTACAACCCAGTCGAAGGGATTCGATAAACTCCGGCATACGCTAGCTTATCAAGTCAAAGTCTGTGTGTGTAAATAAATTGAGAGGATCTTTTCCTATGGCACATCGATATTGTCTTCACACGATGACTTCATATGATAAGAAGAGATATACACGAGTCAAGCCACACACGGAGACCATTCCTCTCTCTCTCTCTCTCTCTCTAGAAACTTGAGCTTGAGTCCTTGACATTCACATGAAAAGATTTGGTAGGTTCTACTCTCTTCCTTAAATAAATTTGAAGCGAAGAACTGTGTGTCAGATCTTTCTAGAAATTTGTTTCCAAGGAGAAATCAAAACCAACCAAGATAGCAGTCTACAATTTGGAGGTCCATATCAGATATTGGGCTGTTTGGCCTTCCGTCGTCCGTCTACATTCGAGAAGCCATTGGCACAGCCGAGCGACAAGACGCCGGCGGGCCACACGGGTTTCCAGCAGGAATTCTTCTGCTCCCTCCGACGAACACCTGCGTTCATGAATCACATGTACTCAATTTCTTCTTCTCCTGAAAGAAGTGATGATGTTATACCCAAGTGAATAATGATCGAAATCGCGTGTTAGTCTTCGCATACCAAGCCCAGCGACTCCTGAGCTCGCTTCCGGCGGTCCGCAGCCGTGACTGCGAGCGTGAGTTCCTCGGTCGAATAAGGCAGCAAATATCGATCGTTATTTTTTATTTGTGATCAAATTCAATCACAATTAAAAAAAATAAATTAAGCTACTTTTATAATTAAAGATATAAATAAAAAAATCTCAATTTCTTAGGGGAAAAAATTATAATTTTATTGACAAGACATAAAGCGAAATATAAGATTTATAAAGGGTAGAATTATCAAAAGAATTAAAATAGAATTAGGGAGATGTGTAAGGGTATAACTATTTTTTAAAAGAACCCTAATCTATTGCACAACGACTGTTACCACTTATACGCGACTAACTCGACGGGTGGCCATTGCCTACGTGATTCATTGATCTAATACAAGGAACCTTATACCACTTACAAGCAGGTGACAAGACGGAATAGATAGGAAGTTAGACCGATAATATATACGAATCATCATAAATAAAAAAATATGGATCTCAAGTATTTGATTTTGAAAAACTCAGCTCTGATACCAATTGTAAGCATAAAAAATCACGTAAAAAATTTTTAATGCTATGATTGAAATTAAATAATAATATATCATATTTATGATACATACCTTTCGAGACTCTCTAGAAAAACCTTTATTTGATCAATAGGGGCATCATCCTCTGCTCCGAAAACTACAGTAATATCAATATGTAAGGAGAACTAGACTTACCTTTTTCTTACTTCCTATATTTTCACAAAACCACTATAATCGATAAATTAGGGATAAAAAAGATGAAAGATAAATTAGAGATAAAAAAGAATGAGAGAGGATCCTTAAATCTCGTATCCATATTTCATGTCTATAGTCTCATCATATAGTTTAGTCCTTACAAGATGTTTATTTATTTATAAACGAAAACAAAAAATATAAAATAAATAATTAAAAAAAATTCTCTTATCAAAAGTCATCTCTTAAGGAACACTATCATAATTCTTCGGACCAAAGCTAAGCAGAAAACAAAGAGCCAATGTATAGAAAATACACCTTGTTTATTATTCGATCGAGGAAGCAGTTCCCGTGAATCCGGAGACCAATTTCAAAAGATGCTTACCGTTTTCCACTTGCAAACCTGAGTATGTCATTTGGTTAATACTGGAGATAATGCACCACATCATCCACCATGAATGTTAATGAACAAGTGATTAGAACCATATTAAAGTTGGTGACATTCCGTGAACTCTTGTAAAATGTTGTGTGCCAGTACAAGCTCGTGAAATTATTGAAGCATTCGAAGTATCCATCTCTAGTAAATCCTTGACACCACAAACCTGATAGAGAAGCAGCGAGTAAAATTACCTCTCTGCAATCCATTTCCTTGGGTACCCAATCCTGAAAAAAGCCAGGATCATCTCCTGTGATGCCCTTGTTCGATCAGACCAACACAAGGAGACTTTAGGAGGATCAAGAACATCAAAATATGCAGATCGAGACTTACCGACAGGCATCACCAGGTCGATCTCACGCTATGATAAGATCCTGCAGCTAGGTAGCGGAAAAGGCTCTGTAAGATGCAAATGAAAATTTATTTAGAATCCCCTCATCATTGTAAAACGAAATTAGAGACTTAACAATTGTTTGATATACTTACATAACAAAAGAAATGACAGAAAGCTCATAAGTTTACAAAATTAGTCGGTCGATTTAAACTTCATCAGAAACTTGGAAACGTCTGTCCGGCATCCTGGTACACCTTTGCATGAGAAACTGTAGCTGATATCTAACTCACTTCTGCCAGACAACCTGAACAAATCAATGAATAGTCAAGAAAATAACAAAGATAATGTTAAGTGCATTTTTATATACTTCAAGTTCACAAACAAAAACTACACTAAAAGGTCAAGGAAGATGATAAACTAATTTTTTTTATATATATCTAGCACCTATTATTGAACAAAAAGAGTCTGAGAATATATTGTTCAAGGATTTAGATGAAGCAGAGAGGTGTTTCGTGTGTGGTATGCGAATCATTATATAAGCTGTTATTTTGAAAAGAAAGTCATACAAAATACATGACAAACTAGGAATACTCGATGCATCAAAAAATTGAGCAATTGAGAAACAAAATATCCAAGTGTTGGTACACTGCCTTTTAGCTGGAACAAATCGTCTGTAGAAAACTCCAGAGATGATTCATCTCAGGATGTGTGCTTTCTACCAAGAGATTGGGATAAAAATCCTTGATTCTTGTGTTCCTTGTATGTTGGAAGTTGCTGCATTTGAACAAAGGTATTAAAGAAGGAAAGAGAGAAAAGAACATCTGTAGTTAGCTAAGACATCCAAATGTACCTGAGTGCAACATTCTGAAAACCTACTCGGTTAGAAATGCTGAACAAATATATCCACATGATTTGATGAATACATAGGATCTGAAGAATTCCTTCAAATCCTGCATCTTATTGATCCCCAGAATAGTGGCTATTTATCCACCGCAATTTGACCAGAGTATTCCTGAAATTTCCCTTTGAACATGCCAACTAAAAATAGTTAATAAGAACGAACTAACAAAAACATATATTGATTTCTATGAATGCCACTGATGATCATAAACTGGAGCACCAAGAAAAGAAGATACATGGAACATGATAAACAACTGCAAACTCAAGTTAACAAAGGATCTGAGCAAGCTAACACACAATGAAGACTTTGAGTTCCAAACAGATTGTTAGTAAACAAACTAGTAAATCAACATGTAAAATCCTCTTCCACCATTTTTACAAGATCCATTTGCAATTTAATCAGAAGATACAAGATTCAAGCTACTCAACCGAAATCCCAGATGAATATGTATCACAGCATCTGTCAATTTGGTCCAACAGGTAACAAAGAAAATGCAACAAAACGAAGTAATACCAGAACTATATAGAAGATTAAACCATCTTACCTGACCAAAGCTAAGCACTTTTCATCGTAGGTAAAACTCAATAGAAAACTATAAATTATATAAGAACAATTCAAATTCTACTTATCATGGAACTTTCTACATGCCTTATGAGGAACAACATAACATGGTGAAGGGTAGTCAGCTTTTCAGTTCCATCATACCAACAAAAAACTGTCCGACCAAACTAATAGCAAATATTACAATCCCTTTATAGACAATGTGTTAGTCTTCCCATCTCAGACTTCTTATGTATAAAATTCCTCTATAAACTGCACATATTCACAATGTCCATTTGAAGAAAAATTAGCATACCAAAATATGAAATAACTTGAACTGGCTAGAGTTCTTGCAATTGCTAACATAAATAGTCATACAGATGATGCAGCAGGAACAGCAACATTGAAGTAAACACGACATATGATCCTGTTAACAAAAGAGAAAAAAAGTCACACGCAAATAGACCAGCTTTTCAAGACAATTCCACAGACGACATTAGAACCAAATTAGCACCGTAAAGTCCACACACATACCCGCTGCAGAAATTATTATTACATACGGCCATCATAACATGTATACGTGTATTGCCCTAACGGCAATTCATAAAACCCTAACCCTAGTTTCCCTCATACCCTTCTTTGACGGAGACTGGATCAGCGGGCGGGATCTTGACGTAGCCTGCCTTCTTGGCGCTCCCTTTCACATCCCCTTCCTCGTCGCTGTACCCATCGGAGCCGCAGATCTCGTGACGGTGGGCGACAAGGGACCAGGCCAGGTACATGGTGACGGCGGTGAGGGCGCCGCACCCAACACCGAAGAGGAGGCCGATCACGACCACGAGGATGTCTTTGGCGCGATCTCGGAGGGAGCTGAACCCGAAGGGGGCGGGCTCGGCGGGGGCGACCTCGCGGCGGGGGAGGAGGAGCCCCGGCCGCGGGATCATGGCCGAGCGAGGGTCGGAGTGGAAGGTGGTGCGGACGGGGGTGATGATGCGGTAGACGGAGACGAATCCGTTGGGACGGTTGTTACCGGGGATGGCAGCGTCGGTAGTGGTGGAGATGGTGTAGGAGATGAAGACAGTGTTGCAAGGGTGGAAGGGGACCCCGGGGCGAGCAGCGGCGGAGGCAGCGAGGAGGGAGAGGACGACGACGAGGAGGGGGAAGGCGGAGCCAGAGGAAGCCATAGCGGGATCAGCGGAGCGAAGGAAGATGGGAAGAATTGGAGTTACCGGTGTGGAATAAGGGAGACCACGGCGTGGCCCATTTTATATAGGGAATTGACTTTATTGGTCCGATGCCGTGTTGTTTGAGGACCAA